CTCACCGGGTCCGACACCGAAATCTGCACAAAAGAGTGCAGAGTGCAGTATCAGTACAAACGACCCATATACTGAGTAAGTATCGAGTCTAACCTCGGCGAAGTAGTGACGGGGCTAGGATACGACAACCATATAAACCTGTGCAGTTATATCATATACGAATAGAACAGTAATAGCAGGAAATAACAGGTAAAAATGGAAAGGGGACATGCTGCGAGAAATATCAAGTTATAACAATAAGCTAATAGAGAAGCATAAAGAACACCATAGTTAAATCAACAGGAAAAAGGAAAACAATAACACGTGCACGACGTCACCCTTCGTGCTATTATTCTCGTTCTTACCATATGTAACAGCAGAAGTGGCACGACATCACCTTCGCGCATTACCTCTCAAAATATCGGCACGACATCACCCTTCGTGCATTAACTCTCAAATCATGACACGACATCACCCTTCGTGTATTAACACTCACAATATCGACACACTATCACCTTTCATGCATTAACACTCACTCACAATATCATGTACGGTATTATCCTTCGTTCTTTACACTCTTCCTCACCCAAACAATAGAAACAATACGTCCCGGCAAGGGAATCAACAATATCAACAATAACACCCCGACAAGGGATTCAGCTATAACCAATCTCATTTTCAACAATTACTTTACAAAATGAAACTCAAGTTGAGCCAATACTCAACAATAGTCAATTACCAAGAAACTTTCATAAGCTTTGTTCAATATTGATAATCATCAATTTGAGCATGAACGATATATAATAGAGTCACAACAATCATGATATAAGACTCACAGACATGCTTGACACCAACGTATAGATACTCGTCACCACACCTATACGTCGTACTCAATACTAACACATAGAAAATAAGACCACAACTTCTATCCCTCAAGCTAAGATTAGGACAAACACTTACCTCAATTCTCCGGACAAGATTAAGCCTCAATTACCCCTTTACCTCTCGATTCCACTTCCAATCCGCTTGTATCTAGTCATAACTTACTTAATAACATTAATAAATTCTAAATAAACCAATTCTAATGTATGAAAATAAATTTCACATCGTTTTTCCCAAAAGTCAAAAATCGAACCCGGACCCGCTTGGTCAAAAACCGAAGTTCGAACCAAAACCCGATTACACATTCACTCACGAACTCAAATATGCAATTAGTTTTGAAATCCGACCTCAAATTGAGGTCCAAATTCCCAAAATTCAAAAATCCTAATTTCTACCCAAAAACACCCAATTTCCTATGAAAAACTTTAGATTTCGAAGTGAAATTATGTAAAAAGATGGATTAGATAGAAGAAGATGAGTTAGAAATCACTTACTTATTATTTGGAGAAGTTTGAGCTTTTGAAAAATCGTCTAAGGATGTGTAGGGTTTGAGAAAGTTGTAAAATGATGAAAAATCCTGTATGAAATCCCATTTAACAGGTGCAGTTATCACAATTGTGAATTGCGAACCCTGGGAATTTCTGCTATCTTCGCATTTGCGAAGAAAACGTCGTATTTGCGACCTTTAGCCTATCTGGACAACTTCGCATTTGCGAGAAAAGCTGACCCTGACCTTCTTCGCATTTACAAAGCAAAAGCTCGCATTTGCGGTCACTGATTACATCGCAATTGCGATGCCTGATTGCGAGATCAGGGCATGCTACACAGCTGCAACATACCAACAATCTCCCTAAGTCTAAAATCACTTCGTGGCCTATCCAAAACTCACTCGAGCCCTCGGGACTCCAAACCAAACATGCACGCAAGTTTAAAAACATCATAAGGACTTGATTGTGCGATCAAATCATCAAAATAATATCAACAACTATGAATTTAACCTTAAATTCATGAAATTCCTTAAGACACATTGAAAATTTCATTTTCTCAACTAAAGGTCCGATTTATACCAATTTAACTCCGATTCTTACCAAATTTCACAGATTAGACTTAATTATTCTTTTAAACCTGTACTGGGCTCCGGAACCAAAATACGGGCTCGATACCATAAAGAAAATGCATCATTTCATTTCAAAAATTCTTTATATTTTTCAGCAAATAATTTTCCTTAAAAATTCTTTTCTCAAGCTGGAGACCTCAAAATTCTATTTCGGGCATACGCCCGAGTCCCATATTTTACTACGGACCCTAGGGGACCATCAGATCATGAGTCTGGGTCCGTTTACCAAAAATATTGACCAAAGTCAACTTTAAACAATTTTAAAGTCCAAATTCATTATTTTTCTTAAATTTCACATAAAAGCTTTCTGGAAACGCGTCCGGGCTGTGCACGTAAATCGAGATGAAACAAAAGTAGGTTTTTATGACCTCGGGATATAGTTTTTGACTTCTATAATAAGAGATGACCTTTTGGGTCGTCACAAAGTCATATAGGGCATTTGACTTTCTGATGCTCGGGTCGGATCTCATCTTCTGTGGCCACTTCACTTTTGGGCCGAGCTTCTCCAGTGTGTAGACTATTTCTGAGGGAAAAACACAAAAATTATGAGTAGATAATAAAAGGGGCATACCTCTCTCATTTCGGTGGATTCCCGTTCGCGGGTGGATGGACATTCATCGTGGCGTGGAGGTGGCATGAGGACGCCTCTAACGTAAGGCTGATGTCTCTCCAGATTAGGTCGGGATCCCACTAGATCTCTCATGCTGTCGTTTCTCCAGTCCTTCCTGGACTCCATTTGAATTGAGGTCAACCGTTGGGTAGGTCCATTGAGATCGTCCTCGTCGGCTCTTACCTCGGTACAGTAGGCGTTGTGTATCTCGTCCCAAGTGGTTGGAGGGTATTTCATGAGTCGGCTTAAAACTTTTTGGTCGCCCTCGACCCACTTCTGCTTAGCCCATTTTGAAAACCGACTACCGCCATCCCCTCAGATATATTTGGAAGGGTCATTTTTACATGGTGGAACCGGGCAAGGAAGTCCCTGAGTCTTTCGCCAGGCGATTGCTTAATGGTGAATATGTCGTTCACCCTCGCCTCTGCTTTCTTAGCCCTGGAATGGGAGGTAACGAAATTATCTGCCATTTCCTCGAACGTTTCTATGGAACGTGCAGGTAACTGTGAGTACCAAGTCAGCGCTCCCCACAGTTAGGATTTCTCCAAACTTCTTCAATAATATGGATGATACTTGTTCTTTGGCGAGGTCATTGCCTTTCACTGCAGTGACATAGTGGGTCACATGATCCTTCGGGTCCGTCGTGACATCGTATATTTTTAAGTACGACAACATTTTGAAGGTATTTAGTATGGCGTGCGGTGTAGCCTCGTTGCTATATGGCTGCTCAACAAATCGATCGGCGTGCGGTGTAGCCTCGTCGCTATATGGCTGCCCATCAAATCGATCGGCGTCCCTTTTTGACAGAAGTTTGGGGCACCCGGTATTTTGTCTACCCTCTCTTGATGCTCTTTCATTTGGTTGCAGAGCATATTGTTCTCGTTCTCCATCTCCTCCATTTTCCTCAAAATGGTTGTGAGGGTGTCATTACCTGCATCAATAGCATTGTGAGTAATACCTGTTGCAGGGAGCGTGCTGCCCGTCAGCTGCCGATGCAATATCGATCCTCGCCTCTTCTCTACTCGACCTCCGAGCGGGCTTGTCGAGGAAGCCAGTTAGCGTGTTTGTCAACCATGCCTCAAGTAGCTTTTTCACTGCTGGTGGTGCCTCTTCTGTTGTTAATGTAGAGGCTCCCTTACCGTGCAAGGACACGATGCTACCATGAGGTGGAGGTGAGCTGTTTCGCCTGGGAGAGGTGTTTGGTGTTATATCTTCGCCTTTCGTTTCGTCCACTTCGTTGATGGTGTGGAGGAGGTTGGTGGTGAGGTTAGCTATCACCTTCCTCTTTTCCTTTCCGTTGCCTGCCATGTTAGATTTGTGTAAACAAGGAAGTATAGGATTTTTGCAAAGTTTTTTTTAGATCTAGAATAAACTAAAATTTTAAGTAGAAAATCCCTACAGACCTACAGACGGCGCCAAATTGTTTGACCATAAAGTGTTAAGCTTTTTTGTTAAACTAATTAAATAAGAAGATAGTGGGTAAATCCTAGTTAAATATAATAAATCCTAGATCTGAAATTGGTTAATACAAATTACGTATAATTGCCTTTAAACCAATTTAATGCAAAGGGTATTAAAATGGTACGGTTATAAGTGTGTGGGGAACAATAATGATCAATAAATATATTAAATGACAATAAGTGTAAATAGAGAGAATGATTCACCCAAATATTAAATAAGGTAGATGATTTTTTTCTCTGACAATGATGTAAGACAAACAAATATGGGAATATAGGGGACTTTTTCGGATCTGATGTGAGAAAATGTAAGATGAACAACAAATCGAATCTTTGTGGAAAGACAATATTTGTAAATTACTTTAGAGTCAACTTTTCATGAGAGGTATTCTCATATAGAATATTACCTGCCCCTTTCTTCTCTCTCCCTTCCCTTTTATATGAAACATATCCCTTACCTAACTTAAAGTACAAATGCATAGAATATTCTCCTAAAATATCTTACTACTAAGCTAGCCGTTAGAGCCGATCTGAGTATTCGACCTCGACCCTAGTTACTCAGCTCGCTAATAGGTTCCTTCCATCTCTAGCACGACCTTGGCCTAATCGGCTCTTAGTAATCCTCTATTGGTCAGGTTTTGACCCATACACATTGTCTATTTGTTAATTACTTAATTAATTTCCTAGTTACCTTTCCGTATCCAATGGGTATTTTGGAAGAGTGAGCAGTAGGTATCAAGTCCACCAAGAAAATAAGAATTTGATAAATATATAAAAATTAAAAAGACGAGGAGTTGTTAACATTTCAGTTACACTCCACTC